TCATCAGGGACATCTCTGAGTGATGGAACAGTGTCCCGTCCACGGCCACCTTCTGGGGACAGCACTGGGGACATTGGGGACATCACTGGGGACATCATCACAGACATCCATAACTGCTGGAACAGCGTCCCACCGAGGGCCACCGTCTGGGAAAAACTGGGGACATCATTGGGGACATCCCAGGGGACACTGGGGACATCACTGGGGACATTGGGGACATCCAGGGGACACTGGGGACATCCAGGGGACACTGGGGACATCCCTGGGGCCGGTTGTGAGGTATTCCAGGTCACTTTTAGGGTATTTTTTTGTGATTTTTAGGGCATTTTTGAGCTGTTTTCAGGGTATTTTTGGGGTGATTTCCGGCTGTTTTTATGGTATTTCTGTGGTGAGTTTTAAGGTATTTTTGGGCTATTTTCAGGGTATTTTTGGGGTGATTTCAGGCCGGTTTTGGGGTGATTTTTAGGCTGTTTTTAGGGTATTTTTGGGGTGATTTTTAGGGTATTTTTCGGGTGATTTTAGGCCGTTTTTAGGGTATTTTTGGGGTGAGTTCAGGCTGGTTTTAGGGTATTTTTGGGGGTGATTTCAGGCCGGTTTTGGGGTGATTTTAGCCTGTTTTTAGGGTATTTTTGGGGTGATTTCAGGCTGTTTTTAGGGTATTTTTGGGATAATTTCAGGCTGTTTTTAGGGTATTTCTCGGGTGAGTTTTAATGTATTTTTGGGCTATTTTTGGGTATTTTGGGGGTGATTTCAGGCCGGTTTTGGGGTGATTTTAGCCTGTTTTTAGGGTATTTTTGGGGTGATTTCAGGCTGGTTTTGGGGTGATTTTAGCCTGTTTTTAGGGTATTTTTGGGATGATTTCAGGCAGCATTTAGGGTATTTCTGTGGTGAGTTTTAATGTATTTTAGGGGTATTTTCAGGGTATTGTTAGGGTGACCCTTAGGGTATTTTTTGTCAATGTGCAGAGTATTTTTGGGGCGATTTTGGCCGTTTTTGGGTCACCTTGTGCCTCTGGTGGCCGCCGAAGGCGATCCTGCGGGCGTCCTCCACGTTGTCGCAGACCAGGGCGTTGCCGCAGGCGAACTGCAGCGCCTTCTTGATGTGCGGCGGCTCGTAGCGGATCACGTCGATCACCAGCTTGGCTCCCCGCAGCTCCCGCAGCTTCTCGTCCGTGGGTTTCACCTGAACCCCGAAAATCCGGGGGGAAAAACCCCAAAAATTG